ATCACAGTGCAGCTGTAACACAGGGGTATAATGTTTCATTTTCCTGACCCACTCTGTGAAATAACTCAAAAGTAGGTGCTGAGATTTGATAGTTGAATTGCACTGCTTGCATAAAAGAATCACAGGCTAGTCACTAACTCAAAAAGTTAGTTTCAAGTTGGACTGGAAACTAGGACGATCTGAACTGACTATTATTACTTTAAAGCCTTGTAAAGTTAGCCATTACATCAGTCACTGGAACACCTGTGGATTAAATGCAGTTGGAAAGGCTTGCAAGTGACTTATCAAGGAAGTACCTTTTGAGAGCTTAAATCTGCAGAAAGGAAGTACAAAAGACAGCAATTATGATCAACCTTGAGTGGGAGAAATGAAATGAGACCAGTCTAGTTAATTAATGGAAAGGATTATTTGTTGACTTAAATAGGAAAAGAAACATCTTTTTAAAGATGTTTTTTAAAAGGTTTTTTAAAGGGTCACTTTAGGCAAAACAACCTGTAACTAGTTTCAAGTAGTAACAGCTTTAATCTTATTCCTTTCTTTGAAAGTATAACCAGCAGCTCGGAAACTTTTGAGCCAGGGTTATTTTATTGGTCATTCTATTCTATATAATGGTCAGTCATTTCTAAGTACTTTTTTTGGAAAAGGCTAAGAAACGTTGAAAAGCAAGCCCAAACTTTGTTCATTTACAAAGAGAAAATAAGAGAGAGATTTTACTCAGTTTGGTAGAGGTCTTTTATGGAAGAACATTTTCAGTGGTTTTGAAAACCAAGATGGCTAGTTCACTCAGTGAATAGCTTGAGCTTCCATTTTAAGGAGAAATAGTTCTGCTCCAACTTTTGTGTCTGTAAGCTACCTACAGAAAGATATTTCACACCTTAAATGCTGCTGTAGGGAGAGCCACAAAGAATGGGAAATAAGTAAAAGGGAAATTGGAATTGCTGAGGTTAATTAGAAAAGTAAATATCTAAGGATATGGAACCAAGCAATGTTACTGTCATCCACTTTATTCAGCACAGGAAGCCTGGGGAAATACTTTGCTGGGTTTTGTGGCACCTTAGGGTTTATCTAGAAGTGTACTCCTGTTTTTCACTTCTGGCAGGAAGCACTCTAGTTTGTTTTCATCAAGTAAAGACTTTCCGAAGTCAGCACCTTAATTCTTTTTAAACTGGCAGGAAACATTGCCTTGTCCTTTCATTTTCTAAGCAGCTCCCTTGAGCTATCCTGCACTCATTGCTCTTTACTGACCTATTGCCTTTCTAGAGGTATACCACACTGTGTGTATCAGTTTGGCCTGGATTCTTCCAGCTCCACTAGACCAGACAGTCTCAGTAAGAAAACAGAAGTGGAGTTATTGTGCAAGGTTTAAAAATCAGTCTTCTGTATGCAAGGGTAAAATCCAAAGCTTAAAAGTAAGGTCCAGTGTTGTGAAGAAAATGCAGTGGGCATAGCTCAGCTGTTGTCATCAATATGCATTGTTGTCATTAAAAATGGGTATTTTACTGGAGATAAAGAACTAGTCTTGTAGCTAGATGTTCTTAAAGGCTCTAGGGTGATCAAGGAAATTAAAAAATACTGTGTCAGACATAGTGGTTGAAACAACAAAAATGAAAATAAAGAAACCACCAAGACTGCAGCATCATGATACAATAGTGCATAGGTAACACTGTTTCTGTAACAAAAGATTACATTCACTCAATTTTTTAGCATATATCAGTACATCAGAGTAAAAGAGAAACTGCAGCATCTTTTTTTAGACTTAGAATAGCATTTTTCCAAATCTCTCTTGAAAACATACAAAGAGAACTAAATGCACAAATTAATATTGCAGTTTATCATGAGACAAAATGAATTTCAGAACTGCTGTCCTTAAGTGCTTCAATCCCCTTGGACACACCTGACCCTTCTCTCCATGGTGCTGTTGCAATCACCTGTGTGTCTGTAGGTTAAAAGTCAGTTAAGAATTAATTATGAGGTCAGAGACAAATATCACTCTGGATCAACATCTACCTATCAACCAGAAACAAGGGAGAAGTAAACTGACAGCTTTTATCGTAGCTAATGCACTTTAGGATTTAATATTAAATGCTGTACAGTATGTTTATTAAATACATGAAAGAGTCAGCATTGGGGCAGCAGCTCTTGATTATGGTGCAAGATGATATGGGTTAGCAGAATTCACACAGGACTGTGAAGAATTGAATGAACAGGTAGTAACAACTCAAATATCAGTCTTGATAAATGCTGTATAGTGTTCAACAGAGCTAAATTTGAATAACTTCCGTTCTGTGTCCATCTGACGTTGAATAAAGACGAACAGAATTCTAAGGGGGATAAAGAGTGGGTTAGAACACAAAAATTTTTAAAAATTCTGTTGTAGAAAAACTGAAGTATGCTAAAGGAATAAACAGTATTAAATAAAATGCAGAAAGTTATTTATATATTTAGGGGTTTTATAATAATTTACAATAGGAGTTTTTTTAAGGCTTGTCAAACACCATATTTCCAGTTTAAGACCATCTCTGTTATGAGTCAGGTTGAATCCATCACTGTGAGAAGCTTTATCCTATTTTTAACTTGGAGTGGCATTACATGTCTTTTCATAGACAATTTGAGATGATCCCTCAGTTGGATAATCAATACATAATGCAATACACGAGTTTCAGTGTCTTGATGTTAGTTTCTGTATCTCTTCTTGTGTACGTTTTCTTTGGAGATTTTGCAATAGTGGTGGATTCCCCAGCTTGCCCATGAGTCCCGAGGGGATAGTGCTTTGTGTCATTGAAGGCATTCATGAAAGTTGTGCTCCATCATATGCAGAAAATATGTGTGTTTTGAATACAGATTTGATATTACCTCCCCTGTATAGTCTAAGTCTAGCTAGTGTCACTGAAATGAGGACTGTGAGCCATGAAAGAGAGACATGACACTGAGATAGAACACACTGGATAATTGAGAGTTCTCTGTGAAAATATAGCAAGGTTGCCTTCACTTACTTTTATTGTTTAACACTCATGTTCCCCAGAGTATTACTGGAAGCCTTAACGAAAGGAATGAAACCATAAGGCAGAAATTGTATTTAAGAAGGCATTACTGATGATTATTCCAGTAGGATGGGGTAGCCTTAAGATGAAGAATAGACTTAGGAAGGAACCAGTCATAAAAATTGCATCTAAAAAGATACTACTCGTTCACATTCTTCCTTGCTTGCATTTTAGATTTAAAGGAGAACTGTGAAGTTCATGTCTTATCATTTGTATCATACTTGATTCATTGCTTCCTGTTTGCCAAGTTCAGGTCAACAGCTGCTTTTTGCACAAAGATGCTCTAGATAACTTCTAAATATCTGCTGCACTTTTGGGTACTGTGAAGATCGCAGCAATACAGTGTTTAGCAGACTGATTTATGTATGATACAGGAAAATAAAAATATAACTGTTTATAACAATTTTATGCATCTATAATGAAGAAAATACAGAGGCAGATTTGGTTACCTTTATTCATACAAAGTTAGAATTTTACTCATTTGGAACAGTATGTGTATATTGCTATCAAACTAATATTCTGGTGAGACTGGGCACAGAGACAGGCAGCAGATCATCCTCTCTGACTTAGAACTCATGCAAAGTACCATGACCAGAATGTTCCAAAGAACCTGGTTCCTGCAGTTAGCACCAGATATGTTTTGATTAATGGTTATCACCTGTTCTGGCAGGTTTTCCTGGCATTCCTCCTGGTGAGGAGTTTTGAAGATGTAGGCCAAAAGTGTAACTCCGGGCAGTTGGAATTACTCACCATCTTAGAATATCCTGGTTAAAACTGAGAGGAAACATTGGAAATGTTTTTGTTATACTTCTCAGTAAATATCTCTGCATGTAAATTGATAATTAATTTGCTTTCTTTCCAGAAAAAGGAAGTGAAGAAAAGTAAAATATAGTTGGTGTTTTAAAAATCCTCTCTGAAACCCAGACAGTGAGATAAGAATGTGTTCATAAAATATTGCACTTCACTTGGGCTTTACTCTTCCTTCTCCCTTCCCAAAAAAGCTATAGCAGGAAAGCGATCCATAAATCCCTGTGTCCACTTTATGGCACGGTGCCTCAAATGATGAATGCTGTTACGTTTCAATTTTTTTAAAAATGGAAGTCCATAAAAAAATAAAATCAGCTTAGTGAATTGAATGTTGCTTCCTTAACGTTTTTCATCCTCAACTCATTTAGTAGGGGAAATGGATATTTCATCAGACATGGATTTGACGTTCCATCACATTATACAGTCAACAGTACAAACGATGTTATTTTTTTAAAATAGAGAAGCTGGAAGAGCTAAGACAGTGGCTGCTGTAAGGCACTGGTTATCTCATTTAAACAGATATTAAATGTAGGTGCCAGTGGTGTGATCATCAGCTGCTTCCCACTTTGTGAATAAATTGCTTAGAAGGAGTCTTTTTTCCTACCAGATGTGACCTAGATTTAGATTTCCAAAGGCAAAAAAAAGTCTATTGTGTAAAAAACAATTGCGAGTAAAATGCATGGTAAATGAGCTTATCTCACTTTTCCAGGTGTTTAAGCTAATATGTTATGGAATTACAGCTTCATTTATGAAAAATAATTGAGGAAAATGTTCCAGCAAATCAAATTTGGATAAAAGCTTAGTATAGTTATTGTGTTGTTAGCAAGTTTCTAAATGACAGAAAGAAAAGGGAGCCAGCACAGATAATAAAAAAACAGAAATTTGTGAAACTGTGAAGAGGCTCCTGTAAAAGGGTCAAGACTGGCAGTGGTATCCCACCTCTGTTGTCTTGCAAAATGTCTTGGAACAATATGAAGAGTTATATTCCTGACAATGCGTATGAAAGCAGGATTTTTTCTTAAAAGACCAAGCATTGATATCTCTTGGCTCTGGATAAGACTAATTATGCTGGTAGGTTGAGTGTATGAACATCAAAAGAGTAACACCTTTTTTCTCTTTCTCTTTCCTTTTTTTGTTTTATTGATTCCATAGGGGCTGCCACTCGAAAACCAGACCCAGAGCCTGAGAAGCAGACCGACCATACTGTTAAAATTGCTGGAGTCATTGCAGGCATCTTGCTGTTCGTCATTATATTTCTGGGAGTCGTGCTGGTAATGAAGAAAAGGTGAGCAATTGCTAGATGTTTTCTATGTACATATTCATACTGCATCTGTTACGGCAGTTCTTAGTTTGATATTGACAAAAGTATGCAGCCAACTTAATGACCTTTGCCACAGAGCTTAGGAAGTACTGCTCCCTCCCACCCCCAAACCTTTGTTGGGTTTTTCTGAAACTGCAGGATCTGTTTCATCCCACAGCACTTTCTATGAATTAATATCTGTGTCTTTGTTACACATATATAACTTGAGGTTAGTGATTCTAGCACTTTATACATCAGTACTGCATGAAGGACTCTGATAATAGAACAGTATCTCTGTCCTGTGAGTCTCCACCCTAATCAACATACTAGCTTAAAGTTAGATGCAGTTGCATTCTTGTATTTAAAAGAAACCCTCAGTCAAACAGGAAATAGAGCTAAGGTAATTTGTGCTAAGAATGGGGTCTGTATTGTTCGGCAAAAACTTCATTCCCTGAAAACAAAGGAAAATGTTACAATGGTGCTAAATGTTTCCAAATGCTGGTTCAACACACTCATGCACTGAGATTGTTTTGCTTTGAATATAATTTGAAAACTGCTACAATATTGAAAGTGTAAGGCTTTTAAAACTGTTTGTCAACACTGTAAAAGGAAAAATAGTAAAGGAAAAACATCTCATAGGTGGCATAGTTAAGAATAAAACCCATGTGAATTTAGAAGCTAAGTCTAGATTGGGATAAATTAGTTAGCAAATAGAATTAAGGTTTCAGGGTGTATCCTGAGTAATGTGAGATTTGCAGCTGTTGGAGGTGGGGTTGGGAATATACGAGTGCTTTGTAAAGCAGCCGAGTCATGAATTCTCGTTCCGCTTCTGCCATAGTCTCCTTACTGTCCCATAATCCCTCACATCCTTGCTGTTCGCCTTGTATTATCCCCTTTTCTTCCTTTGAGAGCAATCCTGGCCTGATTTTGTTCATCCCAACACTATGTGGTTTAATTGTATGTTAACTAGTTTGGCAGGTCTGAGATAGTCCAAACCCCTGAGCTGCCTGAATTTCTTCCAGAATTTGAACAGTGGAGGTACACAGCAAAGGAGGCAGCTGTCTGACAGTGCCTTAGGGCAGGCAACAGAAGTAGCTGCTTTTCACTCTCCTTGAAGACAGAAGCAGGGCCATGAGTTAGAAGGGCTCTATGAAGAGAAAGGTGAGCTGTGGCCAGGGCTGGGGGCTAGGTCATGACAAGAGGTAGGTGAAGCAGTCAAAAGCTGCCGTACAGAAGAGACTGAGACGTAAGCCCCCGGGTAAATCTGACTGGGGCAGTGAAATTGACCCAGTAGCTAAAGCTGTTCAATGAAATACAGTGTAGCAGAGTTAAAATCTGTTCTGACTTTGCAGTACTTTTTTCTTCCCACTTCTGATTTCTTGCATCATTCATACCTTCAATTTTAACAGTTGAACTCCCAAACTCCTCCCTAGGGCCAGACACAGCACTTGGCATGCAGGGAGGAAGGCTTCTTGCATTGTCTGGCCAATCCTTCTTCGCACAATTCCTGACCAGCATGCATCATTCTCTCTCTTCCAGTTCTGAGCCTCTCCTTAAGCGTTTCTGCCAAAGGTAGAATGTATTCACCCAAGGGAGACAAGTTCTTCTTCGTCTTGAAGCAAGAGTATTGCAAAATGATCCAAATAGTTTCAAAGCGAATCAGGTGTCGGGGTCTGTGGCTAAAAGGATGCTATACCAGCTCCTGCTTAACTCTCTAGGGAAAAATTCTTTGATAATCTAATTGTTAGAGGCAAGAGGGTTCAAATCCTAAGTGTTTGCATTAATGCAGAAGGATACTTCTATCTACTACAGCATAATAATTATTATTCATAGTAATTCTGTTGTTAGAAGAAAACTGCATTATGTCAGCTTCCTTGGGGTTTGGAATAAATCTGCTTGTGACAGTGACTTAGCTATTGAAGGTACAAGTCCAGGAACTCTGTTGCCAAATACATGCGATTTCATGTGTAGGAAAGAAGGAATGATACCAGTAACTTAAACATATCTGAGAATGATGCTGCAACCTTGAACAAAATAAACTGTGAAATGAGTTGAAGTGAATATTAAAAAGTAAGAATGGTTCATTTGTGTTCATTTGTGTAACAGTATGTGACTAGGCTTTAATGAGAGTTACAGGAGGTAGGTATATTGTGTCCCAGGCCTCTAAAGCATCTGCTGTAGCATAGAAAGTCTTGAATATGATTACACTCATGACTTAGGCAAAAGATGAACTAATTATTCAATAGATTGTTATTGGTGCATTAAGTCACTATGCTGCCGAGAGCCCCTATGGTTTCACTTTGGTTCAGTTACTGTGTATACATTATGCATTTGAGGAAAATGTGTAAATCATACCACAAGCTTAGTATAACTGTAGTGGGTTTGCAGTTTTACGATACTTTAGGTGCTGCTGTGGGAGACAATCTTACCAAGTTACCACGTCGTTTGACTTCTGTGCTTGATAATTTTATTTCATTTACTTTATCGGGAGCTTTACTGACTTAAAGATCGGAGTGAAAAATAGAACAGAACCTTGTAATTCAGTGGCACCTTTGCCCTGAGAACCACTTTGCTGTCTGCACTATTATGTACAGACTCTCTGGGCTGCAGTGCTAGGTTTCACCCTGCTGAGTTTACGTGCTCTGAAACTTGTCTTGTTTGGAGTTGGCTACAGGAATATCCAATTCACATTCCACTATCCCAAGGCGTATTCCAAAGCATATGCTTTGTTTTTTTCATTCCTTCACAGAAAGGGTCTTATAGACTTGATCTCCAGATCTCACTAGTAGATTTAACTTACTCTGCGGGTCTTCATGGTGCTTAATTAACTTAAATTCAAAACATATCTTTCCATTGTCAAGAGAGTTGGAAAGCAGTTTTACTTATATAATAACCATGACTTTGTCCAACACATTGCTTTTATAGCCACCTCATTTCACCCAACAACTATTCTTTGCTTGGTTGGTGCCAGGCACCACAGATTTTCACAGATCAGTCCCTGGAACTTTTAATTCAGAAGCCAAGTAGAGAAGACCAACATTCAGAGCAGTTTTCAGTGCAGCACAGACATGCTTTGGATATGGCCATTGTCAAAGCAGTAGGTAGAGAATTTCTGCAAATATCAACAGGCATTAGGCAGCATTATTAATTTCACTGTATAATGGTCTTCTGTAGTAGGTCACAGAGAGATAAGGTGGCCTAATGATTCAGTGTATGGTTTGGAGTAACTAGTGAGGGTAGAAAAATCATGGACACTGAAACATTTTCTGTATGGCCACTCAGCCTTTGACTGAAGTAAACCAGATTTGTAAATTTGTTACCTGGCTCAGGGGAAGACTGTTGGTGCTTTCCTGTTTTTCTCTCAGCTGTTCTTATCTTTTCTTTATCTTGCATCCCTGCATAAAGATGTCATGTAATGTAGGTTAAGAACCTGCAAGCTATCCCTAAATAAGAATATGGTCATATCAATGAGATGATTCTTCTCTGTGGAGTCAGAATAATGCCAATAGGCTTTCCTCTCCTCAGTTGTGCTTCGAATCTCACATGTAAGAGTTAACACAAAGTCAGATGAAACCAATACATGTGTTTCCACAATATTGATCCACAAAGAAGTGGATTTTGAATCTGATCCTGAATATTAAATCTCAGACAAGGCCCTTGATTTCTATCAGTCTTTGATATACCTGTGTGGGACTTTATAAAAATTAAAGAATGCAGCAAGTAAGTTCACCTTTTGGTCAAGTTAAAGTGGAGCAGTGAAAATGAGAGTACTGTTCCCATAGCCTTTGGAAAAGCAATAGCATTTAAATCAAGGCTTGTATAAATCAGACCCTTACTGCTTTATTTTCTCCTTTTCTTTTTTTTTTTTTTTGTCTTTATGTTCTATTTCAGTGAAGTTTACAAAATTTGCCTAAGTTGATAAATTAGATTTATTGGTCCAACATTTGCTTAAAAGCATGTATGTCTTTAGGGCAGCTGTTTCTTTCAGGACTGCCATCTTGCTGCTGCACTGGGAGTGCAGTAAGGAAGCAGTTATTAAAATTTTATAACATTGGCTTCTGCTTCACTTGTAGAATGGAGTTTTGATCATTGCATTTCTCCATAAAAAGGTTGTTTTGTTTTGCCTGTCTTTAGTTTCTGTTTTCAGCTGTCTCTATGCCTGAGCCTTCCAGTAGTTTCTAATGTATGTAATTGTGGCATCTGTTTAAGTCAGAGACCCTGGCTCTTGGCAGTGGCTAAGGAGGGCTTTTGCACTTAGTGAAGCTGGGCTGGGAATGCATTGGTTCCATTCCCTGCTAGCAAATCAAGCTGTTCAGTTGCACATACACCTTTGCCAACAATTTCAAGCAGTTAGGATAGAAAATGAAGACAATAAGGCTGAAGGAAATTTCCAGCCTTTTCTCCCTGAGCCTTGTTTTTCCCTCTAAGCCAACTACAAAGGAGAGATGATGAAAGAAAACACTGTGGTAATGACACAGTTCCAGAAGTTTCCCTTCTAGTGGGACAAACCTCCTGCAGCCAGCAGCTCTGGTTTTGGTAAATTTTATAGTGGGGCCTTATTCTACTAGTGGTTTTAATGAAATTTATGTATGTCTTCAGTCCTAAAGGATATAAATTATTATATTATTACTTTATGCAGAAACAGTTCATTGACATAAAATAACCTCTCTACTGGGAAGTGATTGAAGAGCCATGCTCAGGAGAAAATTTGACCAAGGTTGGCCAACATCTTTGCATCGATCTTTTTAACAGAAAAAGAGTTTCCATATTTAGAGAGAGACTAAGTTTGTATTCATTATGTGGGAAGTAAAATGGAATTTGTCCATATTTCTTAAAAAAGCTAAATCTTTTCCATTATGAATGGTGCTTTAGCATGTGGCCTGAAGACTTACAAATATAAAACTTTGTTTCTGCAGGATTTTAATTTATTCTTTTTACCTGGTTCTTTCAGTGGTATTCTTGAGAGTCAAAAACCACAATGCTCT